AAGAGCTGCATGAAGGGCAAATATTTTGTTGCATAACTGAAATTTCTGTTTTCTACTGGAGTAAAAGGACCTGTTGTCCTGTCTTCCTGTCTTCTGTGCCTCTTCATAACATCAACAGTGATCAAGTCTTTCTAACAAGAACGTGGCCTAGGCTGCTCTCACAACGTTGCAGTGATACAAACTCATCTGGTAAGAAAATGAGAATTTTGTCAATTTAACCACTGGAATGGAGGAATTAGCATAAGTATAAAAGCCATTTACTTCAGTATTTCATGCCTAGAACCAAGGTATCAGCACCTTATTCTTCTGAATGGGTACTTACATAGATAGTATGGCCTGGTGAGCCAGGTATACTGGAACCTGGTCTGGAATAAATACTTTCTGATGATGTTCTTGTGGGCTGAAAAACAAACAGGATAATTTCTCAGAGACAGTTGAAGCCATTACTACTGGGTTACTTGGGTGTTAAATGAGACACCTTGATACATAATTATAAATAATAATTAGAAATACTTAGTAATTAGCTAATAATAATTAGATAATAATAATTAGGAATAATTGTATTCAGGAAAAAAAGTCAACACAAATGCATGTGTTTGGCAAATTCCACAGTCTTGTGAAGCAAGTAGGCTTTTTTGCAGGGGAAGGAGTGTTGTGAGAGGTAAAGGTGATTTTATTTTTAAAGCATACAGTGTAAAAGGCTGACAACGATAATGAACAAAACAACACCTGCCAGATACAGCGCAGGGAGTCACACAAACTACAGCTCAGATACTCCTGCTGGTGATTTTATCAAAATGTTAGTTCACAAACAGCTAGAGATATCAGCGGTAGTCCAGGCAAAACTGTTGAGAGGAGCAGAGCACACACATTATCGCTTTCCAGATATTCCATCTTAGTGACTGGATTTCCATTATAAATACAGAACTGAGTTCAGGCCCTCTGACCACAAATCCTGGGCTCTGAACTGTTCCCTATGTCTGTAGCACGATTTAGATGCAAGACCAAAGCTACAATGTTGGTTGAAATTTTGTGACTCCCCACTCTCCTCCCAAGTCTTGATGTTTAATAACACTGTCCTGCACTCGGGCTCTTGCAGAGTGACAGCTCTTACACATTTAGCAGATTTTCCAACACATCACAAGTACTAAACAGACACTACCTTTCTGGAGGAAGTTTTGGGAGAGGAGACAAAGTAATATCACTGAGTCCTTAAAACTCAATAAATGTAAAATAATTTAATTTGATCAAAAGTCACCAGCCTGACCGAGTCGTCAATCTAGCATGGTGGAGACTCTGGTGGTCCTCAATCTAGCATGGTGGAGACTCTGGTGAACAAAACCAGCGAAGCACACTGTTTGATTTACAAGATTATCACTGAAGAAACATGATTTGAGCTAATGGAAAGGGGGTTAGGCTCCCAGCTCCTACTGGCAACGAGATATGTAAACAGGTATTTGAATCCAGCTACTGTGGACTTCAGGAAAGGTGATCGGAAACAGCACACTTCAACTGCAGGAAACTACAATTCTTGCTCCCTAATCGGCTGCAGATAACCAGCTCCCACTATAAAAGCAATGCTCCAGCAGATAACTCTGATAACACAAGTGCAGGGGGATATTTTAATACCACTGAAAATTGAATCTTGGTAAACAGATTGCCTTCTTGAACTAGGGGGCCTTCAGTAACACACTGAGGAGAAGCAAAGCTTTACAGCCTGCCTCACAGGCTTGGCTTGGGCAATGCCTCGAGCGCACTCACCAAGGCTACTGGGGCTTTCTTGTGTCTCGGTTTATATTTCCTGGAAGGATCCTTCAACAGCCCCTTCAACAGCGTCCTTCTGCTTTTTATTTCAGAGCCAAGAAAGCAATCCTTACAAAAATGCTGAAGACTATTTGTGGATTACACATGAGGTTTTCCCTTGCTCCATTTGTGGAACAGGAAAACCACCACACTCCAGGAGGGTCAAGGGAACAGAGGCCTTCGAACATGTCCCACGAAACAAGGGAAGATTCAGATCAAACAGAGAGCAGATGTGGCCATGGAATGACAGAGCCACAAACCCTCTCCAGAGCACATCTGAGGACATTTCGCAGCTGGACTTTCACAAATTTCTTGCATTTTCTCTTTGTAGCAGCAAAATCCTATGTCCCAAAAGGAAGCACAGGAATTTCTCAGCTGCCCCAGCTGCACTTGAGCTTCTTCCATAATGTAGTCAAAGAAGAAAGAAAGAAAAATAAAAAAGGCTTATTTTAGGGAAAGCTTAAAAGACTTTGGGAGGAGAATCTGGCTGTTGTTGAGAAACCCATTTTTATTCTGCTCTTTCACACCACCACTATGTTGTGTGAAGACATATATAACATTTTGCAGTTGCCATGGGAAAGATTTGTTTTCAGTTGTTTTCATTACAACATCAGGAACAAAGATAAGTCGTTGAGGCACTGTTAGGGGTGGCTCTGTTGCCTTCAGCTTTTGGCAGACATTCTTCAAGAGTTTTCTGTGTAATTTTTTCTCCAAGAGGAATAAAACCTTCAGCAGCAGCTACATCTCCCAAGCTGGCAGTCCCTCTGAGATGCTCTTCTCTCTGTCCTTTCACAATAGCTTCAGAAAACAAGTAGTTTTCAGCTCTTGGGCCAACTCTTAACCTCATCTGTGAGTTTCATTGATAAGAACTTGTTCAGCAAAGGAAAATCCAACTGTGCTAACTGCATCAGTGAATTTATTCAATAAAGTCTTTTACCCTAAGAAGACAACCATATTCTGCTAACTTTCTTGTGTGCTCTTAATCCTGTAGCACAGGAACGCTTACATGGGATTCAGTGTCAGATGGACAGCACAAGTCACAGCACCTCTTCCCTGTTTCTTCAGTGTGCTCTTTCTCCTGCTTCAAGACCCTTACTACCCTCCCCTTAACGTAGCCATGCATCAAATATGACCCTTCTTAAATCCAGTTTTCTATTTTCTGAAATTCTTCTGAGCATTAATTTTACCTTCAGACTATGGCAAAGCTCCATACTCTGCTAGCCGCTGCCTGAACGAACATCCTGCGTGTCCCGAGAAGCTTCATCCACGCAGAGCTGGAGTTGTGCAGCACCTCCATTCGCTCCCAACCCTAGGTCTTGCTTAGCTTTACCCTCAGAAGACAGAGCATGAAAAAAGGGACTTCTGCATGTCCTCTCACCCTTCCTGCCTCCCGTGGCCTGTTTTTGTTTAGAACTGCACAGGCTGTTTCCATCCCGGATGCTGAGCTGCTCCCCACTTGGTCACATCTCCCACATGGTCTGGACTCCTTGAGTTTTGCACCTTCCCCTAAAGACCTTGCTCAGCACTTAATGGCATTTGTGCTGTTTGCCTACGGTGACTATGCTCTGATATAAGCTGTTCCTCTGGCAGACTTTCCATTCCCATCATTGGTTCATATCTTAAGAGGCCTATAACAGCTCCTGAAAGGTTGTGGCTGGGCATGGCTTTTATTCCCTTGCACATTACATTTCCGTATCAGTCAGAATCCTTAACCCTACAGACCACTGTTGTTATATGCTACACAAGTGGCAAGAGATATGCTGGAGGTCAAGTTCTCTAGTGATATAACTGAGATGAGATATATATTATGCACTAGGAGAGAGCTAAAATCAGAGCACAGGTGAAATTGGAAAAAAGTGATGAATATCCTCAATTTAACATTCAACCTTCAGTGGAGATACTGTATGAACATCTCTTGTATGCGATATTCAAAGCAGATACGTGAAGAAATTAGAGGAAATCTCCTTTCCTATGTATGGATTTATTTAGTAGTATTTCCTTCCCTCTCAACTTGTTCTACTCTTAAGCACTGAGCAAATTAACATCCTGTACAGATTTCTCATACATATCTGGAATATCCTTTATATGACTATGCTTGTTCTTGAAGGGATTGACCAGAGCCTTCCATTATACCACCTTTGTTCCCAGAAACCTGAAGGAAATATCTATGAGGTATTATGTGTGTATGCACACATGCACATGCCTTGCATGGTCTTTCTCCACATTTTCTCAGAGCACAAAAGTCATCTCTTCTTTCTCTCCTCTTCCAGCCAAATGGAATAACAGTAGTAAATACAGTAATATAGGAAGTCTATTAGATACAGGAAGTCTATGAATGTATATGAAGAATCAATAGAAATTCAACCAATAGAAATTAACGCATGCCATTAAAGGAGCCAAAAGAAAGTATCAGATCAGAAAGTAACTAAAATATCTACAAGATTTCTCAGTATTTTCCACTTCATCACAGATGTCTTATTATTTTGTTCTTCATTTCATGCATTTGTCTTCAATGCAAAAGTCCTTCAGCAACTTCAAGTGCAGACTGGAGAGAGTAACACCAATGGTCATGCTCTTGATGGCCACCCAGCTGGGATCATTGTGAATCTAAATGCCCACGGATCATATCACCCATGCATCTGCCCCAAATTGCTTTCTAGCATTAGCTTGCAAGGCTTAGGATGTTCATCTGGGTTTACCTCAGCTTGTATTTCATCATGCATGGCACATTTTCTAAAAAAGTAGCTTCTTTGAAAAAAAAAAAAAAAAAAAAAAACACAACACTAGAGCCATCCACATCATTCAGCTGCTGCTGCAATGTGGTGGCTATGGCTTCCTAAAGTACAGATGTTCAGCATCATGCTCTATAAAAGCTTACAAGGGCAGGCAACCAGATCAACAGTGATCCCCAGAACATCTGGCCACTTGGATGCACTGCTGTTTCATAAAGGCATCACCCACGCTGTGTACAGTACCTGCCTTAGCTTTTTGATAGAGTTCATTATGCAAGGTGGTGATAACAGCTGCAGAAAAACGAACATGTTTTCACTTACAAACAAGTAACATTACAGTTCCAGCAGATCTTCTAAGCCTTAGTAGTTACTTTAAGTGCATTACATTTATAAATAAGCTACTAAAAAATCTGTGTTTCCTTTCATAATTTATTCTACTTGGCAGAAGCCATTTTGCAACAGCAAGGACTTGGCTTCCACAGTACAGCACATGCTACTCTCACTACCTGCCTAACTAACTGCCAAATTTTACAGGGCAGAGAAGTAGCTTAGGGCTTGGAACCACAGTTCATTAAAGACAGGATTTGCATGGATTTCAGTAGACCTGCAGATCTCAATATTTTTCAGTAGCATCTTTCAGGATCTATAAAGCATCTTAATGCTGCAGCTTTCACAGTACCTGTTACTTTAGCAACTGTACTCTTCTTCTTACAAGTCTGTTTCTATCAAATGTCTGCAGCCTCTCATTAGTTCTACTCTTAAAAAAATGATTTATATATATGTATCAAGGCAAAACTAGTGATGACACTTAGTCAAACTCACGCAGACACACCAGTAGGTCACAACATATTTTTCTTCCTTTTTGAGACACAAAGGCAAGGAGAATCAATTTGCAGTACCATCACCAAGGGTCAGTTGCTAGAAGCATAAGCTTCTTGCAAGCCTGCTTATGTTAATGTATTCTTGTATTCTGCACCCAAAAGTAAGTCAAACTGAAGGCAGAAAAATAAGCTTGGAAGGCCAAAACCTACTGTATTCAATGGCAAAATTCTCAGAATTCGATTATTCTCGGCTTCTTTTCTCAAACATTTTCAAATAGTACAATTTTCTCAAAATCTCTTGTAAATATATATATATATAAATCTTTTTAAAAAGACTACAATCTGTCTGTAGCTTAGGAGACACTTCCCTCCAACTAAGTAGCCCAATTTGATGTGTTCCTTCTTATACTTAGCAAGCAATACCTTTAAATATAAGTCTCAAGTCCTTGGATAGCTGCCTATAGGAAAAGATTATCAATTATAATGCAACTATAGAAATCTCTTATGTTCTTTTCATTTTCTTTCTTGAATAGTCATCTAACTCCTAGTGCAATGCCTAACTTCCACTGATTTCAATGGAAGCTTCAGTACCCAAGTTTGGTACCTCAGAACTTCTGTGCTGCTGATGTTAAATGCTCAGGATATAATCACCATCCTTTCTCACACTCCAACAGCAACGATATCTTGGTATCTTTATGCCTGCTCCACAGAAGAAGACTTCAAGCAAAGTCTGCTGTGAATTACACTTTGCACAATAAGCATGTAAATCCAGACAGAATTGAACCTCGATTAAGTGTAAACAAGAGGATATCACTTGACTCTAAGATACCTGTATCTGCAAAGGTACAGATGCAGTCTACAAAGTAAGAAAGAGAATATGACGAGGAGCACTCCTGTTCTCTTGCACATTGTTCTAATGCATTGGGTAGGATTCTTTCTTTGTTTTTTAATCCCAAAGCTCCTGTATTTCAACACTGAAAACTCCCAACTTTGGCACCCTAAACTGAAGGAGCATTTGTGCAGCACTTCAGGAGTCATTCAGCTGGCATAACAGATTAGTGAAAAGGCTCCTCACGTTGCTACTCTCTGCCTCCAATACGTGATTTCGTTAAAGCCCAGGACAACAGACATTTCCCTTCTCAGAAACAGTGAAAATGCATCTTTGTATTGGTGGTCACTTTAGACATAGTTCTGTAGCTAAGAAAGACACCGACTTCCAAAGACACTGCAACTTCCAAAGTTAATTTTGAGCAAAATATCACGCAGGACAAAGGGAGCAGGGCATGCATTAACTTACACTGAAACACAGCGCTGGATTCAACCGTGAAACCCTGCCCTGCCGCCTGCATCTAACACAAACACCCTGCCCTCAGCTGATGCAGTCACAGACGTGCGGGCAGCACGAGCTGACATAATGGAAATCCAGTGGCATGGGCCTGTCTGCCCACTGTTAGTCTGCACTGACGTCCATCGCAGCACGGTTTTATTTATTATCAGGTGAAAGCTGCCTCAGATACACATGCACCGCAGCCATACGTCCCCCTACACAGCAAATACAACCAATGAGCAGCGCTGCTGTGAAGGAGAAGAAATACAGGGAGGTGCTGGAGCGGGGCACAAAGCGAACGCGAGGAGGTAGAGAGAAAGGCAGTCTAGAAAGAAGGGGAGAGGGAGGATCTTCTTGCTGTGAAATGGGTATGTCCCTGATTACAGGGGCAAGTGTTTTTGGACAGTGCACAGAACATGTTCAAATCCCAAATTTTGTACATATTTCCTCAACTACAACATCGATTTGTGATTTGTTTGGAAAAACAAAAACAGAACAACAAAGAAAACCAAAACATTTAATTGGCATTTCTTTTTCTGAAAAAAAACACCAATCATTGCTCATGAAAAAATACTTCATTTTAACTGTTCTTTCAAATGCAGGTGCTTTTTCATTTGCTTCACACACATCCATTTTTTGTTTCAGAAGAAAAGCTTTCTATAGCCCTGGAAGAGCAATACTGCAGGTTCCAAAGGCTCATGTAAATAACGACAACAACAATAAAAAATCAGTATTTCATTAAATGAAAAAAAAAATGTGAGAGTTGAGCAACAACACTACACTGTACAATGCAAAATACAGCACTGGTGCCCACAGTGGTGCGTGATGGCAGGAAAGCTCAGTGGCAGAAGTAGTAGCAAGAGCAGCAGGTGACAATAATGACGAGTAAATTCTTCTCAGGAAAGAGCACTACTAGCAGCACTATGAAAACACAGCAGCAAACCTCTGCAGAGCGCGGCCTGCGCAGAACCAGACTCTTTGGGTAAAAGAATTCGGATGAGGAATGCTGTTATGAAACACAAAAGGGAGAAAGAGTGAAAAGGAAAGCAGACCCCCCCAAGCCAGAGTTCAATCTCTTTTTCAACAAGTTGTTAATAGCTACTTGCTAGAAAATAAATTGTGCGTTATGATACATATGCTCCATATTGCTCACTGCTGAATCACCAACTGCTAGACAGATGGAGGAAAAAAAACAACAAAAACAAAACAAAAACAATGTATATGGAAATTATGTATTTAGGATTGCTTTATTTTACGCTTGTTTTGACTTCAAAATCCTCCACCAAAACATTCAGCGGGAGAAAGCTCTTAAGCAGCCACTGTTTTTATGACCTGCAGATCTTGACCAGCTAGAGCGCTGGTCAGTTTGTATCACAGCTCCATTACTGAGAGAACATAGAGCTTGCTGCAAATTTCTGAAGCTGCTTTAGTATTAAAACAGGGGTTTGGTTTGTTCTGTTCCACAGGGAAAGGAAATCCAGCAGAGTAAAGAGGCCAAACCACTGGCTTTTTGAAGAGCCACCAGCAACTACAGGCGTGACACCAATAATGGTCATATATCTTCTAACTAGTAAGCACTGGGATAAACAACCTGTCTGCTCCTTGCGTGATGCAGTGTCGTTACAACCCTCCTGAAAGCAATTCTGTCTCTCACATAGTAAAGTTAAAGCAGGTCGACACAGTGATAGGCTGGTCATTGACAACACTATCTAGATAGCATAATGCTAAATACTGGAAACCAAATGCCAAGAGATGGACTTCAGAGTCCCTGGAGCAGTGCACTGAAAAATATGTGAAAGTGATGAGCCTAAAAAGCAATAACACCTCTGAAGTGGTGCTGTTTTTTATCCTGTCAGAGTGGTCGCAGATATGCAATGAAAAGTATGGGAAATTATTCTCTTCAAGAAAGTGTTCAGTTACTGCACGTGCAAAAATGCCTGGTGTGTTTTTGCCACATATCCAGCTTACCCGGAGCTTCTCTTCGGTCTTAGTGGATTGCTTACAGTCGGGATGCCAGACTGTGGAACCTGGGGGAGATTAAAAAAAAAAATCAGATTAAAATGCATGACCGCTGGTCATAAAAAGCTAGGTAGTAAAGAGAACCCTTTCACTGCTGCAGATTGTGATATGGATCCATTCCAGCTCATGAGAAACACAGGTAAAACACAAAAATCCAAATCTTTAACCCACCAAGGGCAGCCTTTGTCTGAGGCTGTTGAAGCAGTTAGCACAACTCAAACTGCCTCAAGCAGCAGGAAAGTAGTGCAGAACTGGGTGCTGGAGCTGAAAGGTTCTGCTGGCCAAGGGGGAGGACTAAAGCAAATGAACTGGGTGGTGGTTACTTCGACTGATCTCCTCAGTGTTGTCAAGGGCCAGGAGTATTTCTATCCCATTTCAGCTGTCTTTTGGAAAGGTTCAAACTGTGCTGACTGATGGCAGGTTTAGCTAAACTGGAATTGACTGAAGCTGATGCTGATTTTTCATACTGACTGCTGCTGCGGGCAAACTCAAACTTCCCTCCAGCTACCTCAAAGCCTCGCCTGTCTGCAGGAGGGAACTTCTCCTCTTCATTCTGTCCTCAAAGAAACAAAAGTCCAGATCCCCTACTGGCAAATATTAGCTCAAGGGCAGCCAGAGGAAAGTCTTCCCTCAAAGACAGGAGACGTTATTCCAACAAGCCCTTGC